TTTAAGTGGGAGAACTTGCACAATTGGTGGCTGACTAAATACTTTTTTGCCCCACTGTACAGTTAAAAACAGATACAATAAAAAAAGTCTAAAGCATCCAGACAACCGCAGGGTATATACCAGTGTAGAGGAGAGCCCCATAATGTTTTTTAAGGGTATAATTCATGTGGTGATGAGACTCAAATTTGTGCCTCTTCCATTGCCCTATTGTTCTATCAGTTGAGGCGAGACAGCTGGTGAACTTCTATCTCTCCAATGAGAATACTTGCCCGTAGGCAATGTCGCACTTTGTAAACAATAGAAGTAATAACTATTTAAAATCACTAGTAGTACCTTTGTTTACTTATTTTTTTCCTATGTCATCTCATCTAAACACTGTACTACTCAGTCAAGATTATGTACTGAGTCAACTAGAGAAATCTTTTAACGTTTTTGTTACTTTTTGCCATCCTTGGATTGACTGTGCTGTAAGGAAAAAGATTGTTGTGGTTTATTATTGTTTGCCAGTAATAAAAAACTTTGTGAAGAACAAGTCTTGCATTTGGCACAGGTTCCATCCTGTTTTTATTTATACCATATTATTGAGATCTGATCCGTATACTGTACAGTTTTTAATCCCAGGAAAGAGCAAAATACATTCAAAGCACCTAAAAAAGCACTCTTCACTCATGCATTGCTTAGATATTGGACAAAGATTTTGCTGCGTTGTGTGATTTGTTTCTGATTTGTTTTTTATCTCACTTCTTCCCCTAATTTGCCTTTGTCCTTTATGTTGTTTTATAAATGTTGACTTTTGTTTGAGCAATTGCAAGTAACCTACCAATTATATACCTCCCCCCTTGAATTGCACAAAATAAAGGGAGAATATTAATCCTATAAACAAATAAGATAAAATTATGCTGCCGTTATGCTTGTGTGCATGAAAACCATTTGATTGTCTTGAGAGAAGAACTGCTTAGTTCAAAGCTGTGCCGCTGCATTAGTTATTTTTTAACAGTTGGCAGTCCACAACACACAGCCATATAAAGTGGCTGTGCAAAAAACATCAGATTATTCCAAGAAAATGTGTAATGCCGTGTCAGGGTGTAACTTCTTGCTTAAATTCCTTTGCAGGTGTTTTTTGGCTGATGCTGCGGTGTGGAAAAAAGAGGCACAGTAGTGAATGGACCCTTATTAACAAGGCCAGAAGTGTTCTTTCAGCAGAAGTAAACCACAGCCTTCAGACTACAACTTCAGCTCACGAAGCCATGCCGTCTAGCAGTCATACGAACTCCTCTTGCATTCAGGTCATGTCTGTGCTGAAGAGGCTTGGCAGTGTTGCCAGTTCTAATCTGTGGGATGTTTTTCTGGTACGGCTCCTGATGTCCGTTGCAGTTATGCTCTATCATAGCAATTTTGTCTTGGCACTTGAAGAAAGGTTTGGAATGAAGCCCAGATTCACTGGCTACCTAATTAGCTATAGTAGCACACTTGGAGTAGCTGCTGGCTTTCTGCTTGGACCTATCACTAAGTGTTATAGGCACAATACCTATGCTATGTTATTGCACTCTACTCTTCTTACCTGCCTGTTCATGTTTCTGTATTCTGTATCAGAAAGCCTTTGGACAGTCATTTTGTCTTGTACATTTTTAGCATTTTCAACCACTGTAGGACGTACCTGTGTTACTGAACTTGAACTAACCCTGGGTGGGGATCAGGCCAGTGGTATGCTCATTGGCGTTGGTCAGTCTGTTTCAGCTGTGGGTCGCATAATTTCTCCTCTTCTCTCAGGCGTTGTGCAGGAATATAGTCCATGTGGCCCACCAATTCTTGGAAGCCTGTTGGGACTTTCAGCAGTTCTCATCATGGTCTTTAATAAATCACGATATTCTGTCACGAGGACCATGAAATTTAAAAGTATGTAATGACAGAGCAATAAAAGTATGTAAAACAGAGCAATAACATTTTAAATCAAATTGAAATCCTTTAAACAGAGAAGGCCATGTTTTCCGCTTCCTCACATCTACCTAGAATTTGGAGCAGGTTTTTTTGATGGTGCACAAGCACAACCCATATTTCAAGTTGCTTTATACATCAGTAGAGAAAATGGGAGAAGAGCTGCCATCCCAGCAGATATTCACTCCCACTGAATAAAGGTTTAGAAGAGAGTCTAATTTTCTTAATGGCAGCTTGGTTGTTGAGTTCAATCCCCAAAGGAATGATCTAGTACTAAAAAAATAGCATTCATTTCTCAATCAGAAGCATAGGTTTTGTTCAAATGCTTCTAAAATGAGTATTGAAACTGAAAAGTATTTTCTGTCATTCAGTTAGCGAAATTTTACCAAGTGAACTGAGCTGTTTTTAAAAGTATATCCTTAGGTCAGTGTTGTCCAAACTTGGCCACTTTAAGATGAGTGGACTTCAACTCCCAGAATTCCCCCCCCCTCCCTTCTGGCTTGGGGGATTTTGGGAGTTGAGTTCAATCAACTTTAAATTGGCCAAGTTTTGAAAAAATGAACTAAAGATAAAAATTTT